TGGCGTCCGCCGTCGTCGTTCAACCCCCTTGGATCAATTTTCTCTCCCCTTCTCCTCTCCTCTCCTCTCCTCTCCCCCCTCCTTCCTCTACCAGTTCCACCTCGACCTCCTTATCTCGAATGCCCCTAGGGCGCCCGTCGTCGCTCTCTCAACCCTTCGGACCAGATCTCCCTCCCGAGCGACCCGAACGACAGCACCCCTCCCCGCTCCCGAAAAGCCTCGACGGCTTCGAGGTACTACCGTGCAGGCCGAAACATCGAGCATCGGAAGGACGTCTGCTGCAAGACGGCCAGACACATCATGCCGGCTCGGACGGCGATCGCCCTCTCGGCCGTCACCCTCGTCCCGGGTGCCCTTGCCCACGGCAACCATGATGCGAGCAACATCGCCGAGGGCCAGACGGTGTCTGAGGATCCGATTGTGAGTCGACAGGGATGCGATGATACCGACGGTCCGAAAGGAAAGGAGAAAGAGACCCCCGGAGGTGGCTAATACTCGCGTGTGCGTCTGTCGCAGGACCTGATATTGTGGCTTCACATCTTTATCCAGATGTTTGCCTATGGCGTCATCTTGCCCATCGGCATGATCTTTGGTGTACGCTGCTTCTCTCCCCCTCTCTCTACCCTGACCCCTTGCACATGTTCCTGACTTTTTTCGGTCGTGACAGATGGCCAAGTCATCGTGGCACGTTCCCACGCAAATCGTCGGCTCCTCCCTGGCGGTGGTGGGCTTCTTCCTCGGTCATGCCCACCGTGGCCGCCAGTTCGTCGGCGGCAACATCCACGGCAGCTTCGCGCACATCCTGCAGATCATGCTGGTCGTCCAGGTAGTGCTGGGGCTGTACCTCAAGGGACACTGGGAGCGCGGGATAAACGGGTGGATCCGCCGCGCCATCCGCCCCTGCCACTCGGTCATCGGCAAGGCCATGCCCGTCTTCTCGTGGGCGCAGATGGTCTTTGGCGGCATCACGGCCCTGGGCTTCTGCCAGGGTGAGCACGTCGGCCAGTGCGCCGCCCACTTCATCATGGGCAGCGCCTTTGTCGCCTACGGCATCCTCCTGACCATCATCCTCCTCGTCGGCCAGGTGTGGATGCGCCGCACCGGCCGCTCCCAGGAGTTCTTTGACAGCTCCGTCATCGCCGCCTGGGGCTGCGTCAACACCTTCACCGAGCACCGCTGGGGCACCGCCTGGGTCCGCAACGACTGGCAGCACACCACCATGGGCATCATCTGGTGGTGCGCCGGCCTGGCCGGCGTCTGGATGAGCCGGGACCGCGACGGCAACCCCAAGCGCAACTTCATCCCCGGCTTCGTCCTCGTCCTCACCGGCTGGGCCATGTCCTCCCACCCGCAGGAGCTCATGGTCAGCGCGGCCACCCACTCGATGTTTGGCTACTGCCTCATGGCCGCCGGCGCTACCCGCATCGTCGAGATCTCCTTTGTGCTCAAGGATCGGCAGAGCCTCGACGACGACGGCCGTACCTATAACAGCTTCCAGTTCATCCCCGTCTACGTGAGTCCCCTCTCCCCCGCCAGCTCTCCCCGACCGACCCCTCTGCCTGCTGACGCTGCCTGCCGATCCCAGTTCCTCTACGCCTCCGGATTCCTCTTCATGAGCGCCACAGAAGAGCAGATGACCATGGTGGCCAACTCGGACATGGACCACGTCGCCTACCTCCTCATCATCTTCTCCCTCGCCTTCCTCGTCTTCCTCTTCGCCAGCATGCTCATCCAGATGTACGACCGCCTCGCCGACCCCGACGGCGCCGACAAGGACGCCAGCCACGGCGTCTACACCGGCCTGAACGGCAACGTCCCCCTCGAGGAGGGTCGGGCCCGTGACGCCGAAGAGTTCGAGCTCGGCGGCCTCTCCAGCGACGATGAGGGTGCCGACGACGCCGAGGAGCGCAAGACGGTGCGCAGCAGCGACGAGTCGTCGTCTTCGAGGCCCCGCACCAACGGTCGGGCCAACGGTCGGGCCAACGGTCGGGCCAACGGTCGGGCCAACGGTCGGGCCAACGGTCAGGGGTCGCACGTGTAAGGCCTGCCCACCGCAGGCGGGTGCTGACAATGTCTCTTGACATTTCGCAGAGAAAAAAATGACGGCTGGAATTCTGTTCTGTAACAACATGGCACCGGGGTTGGTAAGGTTGAGGTGGATAATTTTTTTGTTTATTCTCGTGTTTATTCTTGTTCTTGTTCGTGTGCATCGCATATACGCACGCAGACACCGCTATCTAAGGGAGTATATGGCATGGGAGTTCTTTTCTTCTTCTCTTCTCTTCTCGTATCTATTGCAATCAACATGTGGGGGTTCCTCTCGATGTCCGACATCCAGCTCCCAACACCAATGTGAAGAGGAGTCAGCATGGGAATACAGTACAAGTAATGGCCATGGAGTTGTAGAGTTGTAGAACATGGCGATGATGCATGTGTATGTGTGGATCTGATTGTTGGCGCTCATACCAAAGTAAAAAAAAAAAAAAAGTGTGGGGACACACTCCAGTGTATCTTTTTTTTTTCTTTCTCTTTTTCTTTTTTTCCTTAGTTCGCGGGGCAAGTCTTCGACAAAACCCATCTGACAGCCGACATCAACTATAACAACCAACGTCAACCATAACAGCGACGACAACAACAACAACTACTACTACTACTACTCCTACTACTACTACTACGAAACGCAGAGCACCGATAGACCGCCACGATGCCCTCGGTAGCAAACCCCAACAAACCCTCTTCGAACCGCCTAGCCGCCCGCTCCTCCAAGGCCAAGAAGATCCAGCGCCAGCGCGTCGAGGCCGCTCAGCACAAGATCTCCAAGCAGGACGTCGCGCGCGGCGCTCGTCCGGGACTTCTCCCCTCCAGCGGACCGAACCGCAAGCTGAGCGCCAAGAAGGCCCGCAAGATGGAGAAGAAGATGGGATACGCGCTCAAGAGGCGTATGGAAGCCGAAGGCATCGTCAGCATGCAAGGTCAGTGCATGACTCTCGTGAATGCTGTAATCAGCAGATGCCGTGAAGAAGGACCGGAGACGAAGCCGACAGGGAAGCTAACAGGACTCGATGAGTCTAGAGGATGCGCCCGAGCCCGAGACCGAGGAGAAGAAGAAGAAGACGACGACGACGACGGAGGAGGAGGAGGAGAACGATGTGGATATTCAGTGATTCGACGGATATGACAGGGCATTCATTCACGGGCGTTGGCGTTCAAGGCTGGTTTGATAAAGTAATAAAAAAACTCTGCAATTTCTTTAAAAAGATTTTTTTTCGAATATCATTGCATACATTCCATGCATTCGATCGGATACTCCTCCTGGGATGTCTGGCACATCGGTTCTTCCGCTGTCCCGTGTATGCCGGGTGATGGTGGGAAGGGGTCTGACAGTGCTGCCCCGGGTCGGCAACACACATGGGTAACATGACTCTCTCTCTCTCTCTCGCAGGGCGCCGCGAGAAGATGTAGGTGGTAGGGTCATGGACGGTGAGGGTCTCGGAGGATACTCCTTCTTATCCAGTCACCGTTACTGGTAATACAAGGCGGTGCAGAGAAACGTAGAAGATGGGCATTGTACGACGAGTTTCTCATGTATCGAAGAGAGATCAGATCATAAAGTGCCGGAGCATCTGAAGACAACCAACCCTATGATAACCAACCCTAGCCAAGCACCCTAAACCCGAACATCACTTCGGACTCGCGTATGCAACCATCTCACACCAGTCTCCATCGAGAGCTGCTGGGCTGGCACCAGCTAGTCCTCTCGCTCTCGACTTTCTTCTCTTTCCCCTTCCTTTCTGCCCTGACCCTCTTCTTTCCACATCTAAGAGAGTACCGATTACGCCTCTGTTTGCTCTATGAGAAGGGGGCCGAGGGGAAGCATCCTCTGCGGCATCTGACTCGCATGGTCTTTCTGGCTACTTCTTCTCCTCACACACAAACCTCTCCAAGGCTTTCTCCATACGAGACCGAAGCCATCAAACCTTTTCTTGCCTCTCACCGACAAGCTTCAGAAACTGTCATGCCTCTTCGATCCTTCATCGGCGAGGTGCTCAGGGATCTGCGGCACACGTGGGATCATTCTCAGCAACCTGGATCCTTGCCGTGTACATACTGCGTCGGCTGACCGTGTACACCTGGGGCGGGGCAATGGCAGCAAGATCCCCGCGGTACGTTGCTAGCCAGACGTATCTCCAGATATCATGAACCGGCTGAGCTTCAACTCTCAAGCCCCGGAGCCGATGCAGCAGCGGTATCGCATGGTGAAGACGATGCACTGACAACTAGAAGCGTCTCAGCCTCACATGTCCACGATCTCTCTACAGTAATATACGAATCGGCCTTTCCAGGGTTCCCAAGCCTGTGAAGGACCTCATCACTGTACCACTAAAGTATGACGAGGATCTGCGGTCTGTCCGCAGCGAGAGACTCCAATCAGCTGGAGAGCCGACTTTGAGAAGCACGTCGGAGATTACACCGAGAATCCTTCTAGGAGGCGATCTGCACACCGAGGTATTCCAGCGACGACTGACGCCAAGTCTTCGTCAGTCCGGGAACAGAACTCGGAACTCGAGGGAGCGCCTTATGCTGACATTCAACAGCACGCACGCGTTATCCCGTCGGTCAGCCGAGGAGCTTGAATATGCGGTCGAAAAGGGAACTCCCAGCGTGCAATGATGAGTAGACCGACGGTAACAGATCTATCAGGGACATCTCTAATCGGCCTACGGGAGAATGGGCTGCTGGAAACCCCTACAATACTGTTCCGAAACTTGCATGTAGCATCGGGTCTCGCACATTCGTGGGGCCGGCCAATCTGGCGGGGTTCCGATTCCCTGGAAATCTCAATGTCGTTGACGGCAGACATCTCTGAGCTCCGAGACAGTCGGCGTTCCGCGCCTATTTCCCTCTGCTCTCCGTCCCCTGTTCGGAAACCAGATTCTGGGTGCGAGGCGACCCGGGACTCGGCTGGAGTGCGTTGGCAACCTCCTTGATAGGGAGATTGAGAGGCGGGAGCTGAACCCGGACGAAGAGCATGATCATCCTCTCTCCGAGGGCTTCAACCCGCCTGGCGAGCTCGAACGCATCAGACCATACCTTTGAGCTCTGAATAGCGGACAGGGGGTCCCCTTCATCCAGTCTCCATGATAGACCTAGAAGGAGCACCGTAGTCTGGAGCAAAGAGTATCTATCCGGCAGAGCCCGTCTTCAGACCTTAGAACGTGGGATCCGAGATAGTATCGATGTTGGCAAGGGTTTCGGAAGAATGATTTATCATCCAGTTTCAGAGAACAGTTTCTTTTCTTTCTCTCCTTGCTTCTTTCTTTCTTTACTTTCTATTCTTTGTAGTTCTTGTACGGTTCAGACGCATCCTGCGTAGCTGGGGGTGGAAAGATCCTCGCGGAAAAGTACCGATGCGTGCAGGTAATACCACGCAGCAGGTATCTCATCAGGCATGACGCAGCGCAGACCACATGTGGTCGGAACTAGGGCGGCACTATTCCAGTGCACAAGACCCCTTCTGAGCCGATGCGACTGCATCTTTCCTTCCGCTCGGGTGGAAATGCAGGATGCTGTCTCGCAACGCCGGCGCCTTTCAGCCGAGGATTCCTGCATATATATCGGTATACATATAATGTATGCAACTGGAGAGCAGAACCATCTACCCATTCGGCCGTATCCACCGTCGGGGCATGTCCTTCTGAGTTCCCTGCAACTTCGACGACCTCGGACACTTGGCCTTCTTACTTCCTCGCTACTTGGTGGCCGAGGGCGGCCGGTTTTCTGCCATCTCCCTCAAGGGCTACTCCCCAAGACCCAACGGCTTGCCTTCGTCGCCCCTTCAATCGGGGACTGCCGAGTTGAGCAAGGGCCCTGCAACATCACATAGATCTAGGACGCCGTCAAGAGTCGTTCTTCTCAACTCCCCCGCATTAAGGGTGGGTTGGGCTGGTCACAGTGATGCAGGTCGGTGACGTCGAGAGAATGGATTTGCAAGCAGTGATGGATGGGGAGGGACAGGAAGAATATCTGGCTAGCTATAGGAAAGGAGAGTCCATCGACTGCGAACCTGCCATGGGTTCGCGGTGCGCTCACTGCTCGGCTGGCAGCTTGATGGTAATACATCACTCTTCTCGACTCGGTGATGCGGACAGATGCACCCCGAACCCTAAAGCCGAGGGTTTAGAAGGCCTTCACCGCGATCCCTACATCTCGGGCGTACTCTCCCCAGTGAGTCAGAAGCTCTTCCAGCTTATCCGGGGACGTCGAGGCCAGATCATGGGTCTCTCCGGGGTCGGCATCCAGGTCGTAGAGCTCCCAAGATCCAGTCCCGTACGGGGCCGGCATGTTTACGGCCTTCCATTTCCCCATGCGCAGAGCCTGGCGGTTGAAGAGTTCCCACCCGGTGACGGTATCCTCGCCATGTATGTGCCCTTCCCCTTCCGGATCTTTGAGATATGGCACCCACGACTTGCCCCTGATAGGTGCCACCTCGCGAGAGCGATACTTCGTCCCCGGGTGGTGTGTCCCGGCAAGTTCGAGGAGCGTGGGCGCAATGTCCATGACCGTCGCAAATCCGTGCTCGATACCGTCAGGTCGCGTCTGCGTGAGTGGCGGGTAGCGGAGTATGAGCGGAACGCGGATCCCGCCTTCTGTGGCAAACGACTTGTACAGCCGCGACGGCGCCGTTGCCGCCGAGGCCCACCGGGGGCCGTACCAGACATAGCTGTTTCCCCGTCCGATGTTGTCAAGGCTGTTGTCGTAGTACCTGTCGATGAAGTCAAATATGTCGCCTTCTACCAGCGGGTATGCTTCCATCAGGAGGCCCTCGGCGCCGTTGTCCGACATGAACAGCACGACCGTGCTGTCCAGCTCGTCCGTCGAGCGCAGGTAGGACAGCACGCGGCCAATCTGGCCGTCCATGTGCTGGACCATGGCGGCGTAGACCTCCATCGTCCTCGAAGAGACCTTCTTCTCCTCCTCCGTCAGGGACTCCCACTCGCGAGACAAGGGCCGGTCGACCGGCGGCACCACGACATGGTGAGGTTTGGCGTGGGCCGGGATGAGACCCAGCTCCCTGAGCCTGGCGAGGCGTTGCTGCCGGAGCACGTCCGGGCCATCGTCGTACACACCGCGATAATCTAGACGATCCTCCTCGGGGGCCTGCAGGGGCCAGTGAGGTGCGGAGTAGGGAAGATACGCGAAGAAGGGCTGCTCCCTCTGCTCATCAGATCTCTCGCCAAGGTACTGCAGCAGCTTGGTGGTGAATGCCTCGGATGAGTAGAAGTCAGGCCCGAGCTCTGATGGCTTAACGGTGCTGTCGTCCTCGACGTAGAAGACGGGGGTGCTTTTCAAGATGCTCGGCATGGCGTTCCGGTCGTCTACTTGCGGCTCCCAGCCATAATGATTTGCAGCACCCTAGAGGTAGATGCTCAGCCACGGAGCCGGGAATCGTGAGATGTCATGAACGGGCATTCAACAGTGTGTGCTTACGGGTAGAAGAGAGAAAGATCGGTCAAATCCCCGTTTGGACGGATACCGGTCGGGTGTCAGTCCGAGGTGCCACTTGCCGGACATGAGCGTATAGTAGCCCGCATCTCTGAGCAGTTCCGGCAGTGCTGCTACCCGGTCGTTGAGGTATCCCTCGTAGCCCGGCTGATCCTTCTGAAAGTCCTGGATGCTTTCGGCCATGGTACCGATGCCGGCTATGTGATTATCGGTGCCGCTGAGCAGCATCGACCGTGTCGGTGAGCAGGCAGCCGCCACATGGTAGTCTGTGAACCGCAGACCGTCTGCTGCCAACGAATCCAAGTTTGGCGTCTTGATCTCTCCGCCGAAGGCACCGATGTCCGAGAAGCCTAGATCATCGGCGACGATGATCAAGAAGTTGGGCCGTCTACCCATATTCAGGCAAAGTGTGAGATCAGAAGGAAGTATTAAGTTGCACGATTGTATGGAGAATGGGGGGGGGGGGGGGGGATCTTGTTCAATCGAGTTGATTCAGATGAGCCGACTTTGCATGCTCTCGAAAATCCATTTCCCCAATGACCAACCCATTGGTCTTACCCCTCTTTTTTAATGTATAGGTGCATGTTCAAGCGACGATGTGAATTTCGTCAGGCACGGTGTCATGTTATCATCATCCCCCCATGCGTTACGAGACGAGATATCAGTGAGCTGTCCGGGTTATGGCCTATGATACTACTTGCTTCCGGTTATGAGGAGCTGTTAGCGCGGATGATGTGATTTGGAATATCGAATCTACATCTGCACATTCCTCTGGTACGATCAGAGGCATGCCTTCGCAGTGCTGTATCTTGGCAATGTCTTGCATGCTCTGGGTTCCTTGTTGCGTGATAGCATGTGCTCTAGAACCGGCCAGTTTCGATACGTATCCGATGTCGATATCCTCAGCGTTTTATTGACCGTTCCATCTCATCATCTACCGTAGGAGAGGAGGAGTCTCATGTCCCGGCGGACGGGACCGCGACGTATCAGTATTACGATCCAGCCCCTCATCGCGGAAACATCCGTGCCGGTGACTAGTAGCGATAGCGAGTGACCTCTGTCAACTTGCCGTTCCTCGCAAGACGCCAATTGAGCACCCAGTACTGCAGGTTTGCCCACAAGGAGAGGAAGAGAGACAGCGAGACCAGGCCGACAATGGCGCTCCAGCCGATCCTGTACAGAGGTCCGTCTGCCTCTTGGAAGAGCTGGCTTCCAATGATACCGGAGCAGTTTGCCGACATGATAAACATCGCTAGAGTGATGGATCTTTCCCCGGACGAACGCGCATTCAGAGCCATCCATGAGCCGTTGACGGGATCTACGGGTGTGTGAACGGTCAGGTATGTGTGAGCGGTCGGGAACCACATCTAGGGAGCGGGGGGCTCTGTTCCCTAGCCTGTACGATCAGATGATGGGATCGGGGATTGAACGTACGCCAGATGGAAGAGAATGAGATGGCGAGTACCAGCACGGCAAATCGTTTTCCGTCGTCGTCTGAGTAGATCAGCAACCGGTTGACCAACTGCCCACGACGATGGATGTGTTAGCATCTAAGCTTGAAAGGATCGGAGTCGGCGGGGGGGGGGGGCCTTGTCAATCACAGCAAATATCCACCAGAGCAGCATCGCGAATGACACCAGTGGCCCTCGCCGGCCGAGTTTGTCACTGACAGCATAGTCAGCAGCGTCTCTGGATATCACCAGCGTCGCACCATGTGCGGAACCACTCACGCGGCGACTCCCCAGACGATGTTCAGGACGAGTTGTATCCACTGTCCAATCGAGACCAACGCGTTCGACCGGAGTCTCTCGTATCCAAACGAGCTGACAAGTGACGGCGCGTACGACCCCATTGTAGATGACGGGGCGAGTCCGCTGATTGTCAATACTATATGGGGATATAGTCTCCAGTTCAGCAGCTTATGGCGAATGTCAGCGATTGCTGTCAACGCATTTGGCAGCGGCCGAGAGAGGAAGAATGGTGAGATGTCTTACTGCCCCTCTCATCTCTGCCCAGGAGATGCTGCGCCTGCTCTCAGCCTTGGAGGCATCGTCAAGGGTAATTCTCTGGGTAAGTATGCGGCTCTCTCGTTCGTCAAAATAAGAGATACCGACAAGACACCGCGGGTCAGCGGTGCTCTTCGGGAAGAAGAGGGTGAAGACGATCCCGACTAAGATTGTGAAGAGGCCCTCGATCTTGACGTGCCGGAATGGTCCGTCAGCTGCGAAGCAACATCTTGAAGCTCTCTGTCAAAGGTTGGACACTTACGACGAATAGCCACTGCCAACCAGCCAGACCCCCGACTCCGCGCATATGGAGTCTAGAGAAGGCGCTTGGTTAGCTACCCTTAGTAGCGTGAATGGAATGCAGACTCGAACCTACACCCCATACGCGATCAGCCCGCTTGTAGCCTGAGCGAGCATGTTTCCCAGGAAGAAGATGGAGAACCGTTTACTCGTCTCGCTTCGTTTATAGTACCGTGTGATTGTGAATAGGCCGGCGGGGATGAAACCGGACTCGCATAACCTGTCGGTGTCGGTAAGAATGATCACGCCAGCATCACCTCCAGCTATTCGCGATACTCACCCTAGAAGGAGTCGCGTTGAGAGGAATGCCCCCAACCCCTTCTGCCAGGCTTGGAAGATGGCGACGAGCCCCCTTGTTGACAGATGCGTCGAGTTAGTATTCTGCACCGATCCTTCGGAGCTCATCTCCTTACCAGGCGATTATCTGGCCGCTGATCCATACCGATGGACCGATACGATAAAGGACATAGTTGCTCGGAATCTTCTCCCCCAGCTGATCAGCGTACATGTTCGCCGCCTCGTCCGTGTCGGTACATGCACTCACTTCTAGCACGACGATACCAGCAGACAGTAGCTGTTGACCGACGTTGAACTGGTTCTGGGTGATGCCGACGTCGCCGAGGAAAAAGTCGGTCAACGCGTTTCCTCTAGATGATAGGTAGCATCCGGAGCCCGTCTGTCAGTAGAGGCTCGCGGCAGATTGAGGACGCGTGTGCACTTGCATATTTCCCCTATCGAGCTGTAGGGCGAAGAAAGCCAGCGTCAACAAGGGCATGACGATGCGATCCAGTCTGCTCATGTTGTCAGTCATGTTCGTGTCCGCTTTTTCTTTCCTCTACTATATTCTGTACATGATCAATTGCTTTCTGAGGATATCATTACCTTGCAACAAGTCGCCTCTCCTCCTCCTCGGTCCATTCGGGCACCTGGGTAGAGGGGGTCTCATCGCCGGGTGAGAGAGTGTATTTCCCGACAGGCTCGTCGCCGCCCCTCGCATCTGGAGAAACCTCCCGGGCAGCCATGTCGAGAATCGGCTGTATCGTAGCCAGGTCTTGCGGTGCACAGGATAGTACTGGGAGATGAGTGGCCGAGCTGCTTCTTATTCCCATCGTATACCCTGGCTAGTAGTCAATGCTCGGCGACTAACTCTGTAACCGTCCTCGAGGCTTGACGATGGCGCGATTAACGTACCGCGATTTATTTCCGGCGGCCCTCCATGTCTAGAGTGCACGTGGCTGATAGCTGCTGCAGATGCCTCATGATGTGATGGAGCACGGGGATGGCACCACTCCAAGTGCGCGCGTTCCGTAAACAGTAGCGTAAGACGCAAGAGGGGTCGTCTATGTCGTGGCGTACTTCACGATTATGCTGGGAAACCCCGGCATTGGATTCATATAACATGTTGACCCCGTTGACAATCGGGGACGGTGTTAGCACACGTTCAATCACACTTTAGGCTCGATATTTTCCATGATCCATCTCACATTGATACATACCTAGGCACTTCAAAAAGTATTATCTGCCAGCTTGGGGATTTTATCCTTACCACATCAGCTGCATCTCCACGAGAGCCATGGCCAACCTGGAATCCCGGAAGCACATCTCCCCCGACTCGGGGTTCCCCATCACCATCCACCCGTCGTACAACCCAAAGATCAATTCCCACGTACCACCGGACCCTATCAGGGAGGAGATCGTCCCGCCAAAGGACCGCGCCTTCTTCGCCGACCCCGAGAAGAAGGCTCTCTTCTCGGTGGCTAACAGAGTTGACCTGACCGAGTCCATCGGGACCGTTCTTGAAAACGTCCAGCTTTCGCAGTTGGACAAGAACCAGCTCGACGAACTGGCTGCCCTAGTGACTGAGCGGGGTGTAGTCTTCTTCCGGGATCAGGATCTCACGACCGAGGGGCAGGTTGAGCTGTTTGGCCACTATGGCATTCTTGACAGGCATCCAGCCCAAAAGGTAGTCGTCGTCGCTGGCTGATCAGCTCTTCTGTCCATCAAGATGCTGACCGGGATTTGCACCATAGGACCAGAAGGTGAATTCTCCTCGAGTACATTCCGTGTGCCAGCAACTGACTCGAGCAGCACGTTACGATCAAAGGTAGTGTCCAAGATCAACGTGAAATTTTGACTTATACGCCCTGGGTATGTGGACCTGTCCGTTTTAATCAGCTCTTCTTTTATATATATATATATGTGAACTGTGTGCCTGACATGAACGTAGCCATCTGGAGAGTGGCATGCCGACACATCGTTCGAGATAAACCGTGAGTATACTTTCGTTGTTGTTTTTTTTTATGTCACGGATACGTAGCTGATCACCGGGCGATGTTCAGCGCCATCCTATTCACTTCTTCGAATGGAGGAGCACCCAAAAGTTGGTGGTGACACGGCTTGGGTGAGTGAACAATCATATGCGTAAAGCCTCGACGTCGAAGTTGGAGCACACCTGCTGAAGCTCAACTTCCCAGATCTCGCAATACGGAACGTACGACGCTTTGAGCAAGGCACTGCGCGGCTTCGTCGACAACTTACACGCCGTTCACACCTCCAGACTGCAATGTGAGACAAGAAAACTTTTGGCAAGTTCAACGCAGTGCAAGTTCCTGACCTGTCCCATCAGATGAGACCATCCTCGACTTGTGGGGTGTCGGTCCGAACCGTCCCCCGATCGACACCCACCACCCTGCAGTCCGAACTCATCCTGTAACCGGGCTCAAGGCTTTGAATATCAATACCGGCTTCGTCACAGGATTCGCCGAGCTGAAGAAGAAGGAATCTGGTAAAATTGTGTCTATCATCACGCTTCCCTCATAGTCATGTCTCGATTCTGACGAGAGATCGGATGAAAAACTCTAGACAAGCTTCTCGAGTTCTTCGAGCTTCACCTCCACTCGGCCGACGACCACTATGTCAGGTGGAAATGGTCTGTAGGAGATGCGGCCATGTGGGATAATCGGTAAGTTGACCTCTCACATCTGTATTTCGGCACGGACCTTGACTGACGAATAACGGGGGGAACCTAGATGTGCTGCTCACCGAGTGATCCCTGGCACGTACAAAGAGAAGAGAACCGGTGTTCGAACGACCGTCTTTGGCGAGAAACGTAAGCATCATTCTACTCCGATGATACACCATGGATTCAGCTTATTCTACCGTGGCTAACACATCGTTTCCAGCGTATTTTGACCCCTCGAGTGAGAGTCGAGATGAGCGAGCAGAGCGCCTCCAGAGGGAAGGGGCAGGAATCAAGAAGTCTGAGTAGACGGCTTGATGTGGACGGATGGATAGCCGATTGATCGATATCGTAACTTGGAAGCTCTGGTTTGACCTCTGATTGAAGTCGCAGTGATGGGTGCAGCTTTGGACCTCTGAAATCCAAGCGATTACCACTGGTGAAGTACATGTAGATACATGCATGCAATATTGGATGGACAACGCCCGCGCCGACAACCAACGAGACGTGTCAAGACCCCCCAAAACAAGCTAGAGGCTGCCGCACCCGGTGAGATGCTCGCATCGCGACTTGTGTGTCTCAATCATCCACCCGCAGCATACATACATGCCTCCGGCCAGTAACGATGCCATGCACAGCATTCAACAACTGTGGATTCAGTCCCCGAGCCCACACAGCTTACCAATCGTTCGGTTGCACTCTTCGATTTGAAGACGTCGCGCAGCCTCCCTGGATACACGACCGGCCACGTTAAGATCCACGTGATGGGGAACGTGCAAGAGGGCTTCACTTCACCCTGAGATCAAGCGCAGCCTAGACTTCAAGACGGAGAGCGACTAATTTCCCCACAACCAGGGTACGGCTGCAGGCGGTTCTCGACGGTGGGGCTTATAAAACCGACGGTGTGCCTATTTGAGAGATTGAGCTGATTCTTGTCCGGCGTTGAGGTCTTCGGGAAGACGCTGGATTCGGTCAAACACGCTGCACGTCCTGCCGGGTGACGGGCACGCGTGGTATTCATCCACATAATTCCAGTTCCATATTCCTGTGAGTGCGTCTACCGATCGAATCACGGTAGACGCAAACAGGGAAGATTGTCCTGAAGGGACGGTGTTCTCGGTGCAGCGTTATCCCCATGATGCTGAACAGGACTGAGCCGCATATGGGCGAAATGAAATGAGATTTGGAACTTTGCCGGGATCAGCAAGAGAGAAAGCAAGAGAGGAAACAAGGGATACTCACATTATCACCTTTCCCTTTTTTTGCTTTTCCTTTTTTTTTCCCGCCCCAACGCCGCCCTCACGCTTCCTCCCATAGTTTCTCATCGCACCCAGTTCCTCATTCCATTCTTGTATCATTTGTGGGATCCGCATTTCATCTCAGCCATATACGATATGCATATGTGCGTGTGTTCGCCGGCAAGGCCTTTGAAGAAGAGGCATCCCTCGTTGACCTAGAGCTCTTCGTTGCCCGAGATGACGACGAGGTAGACAAGCTGCCCGATGTGGAATTCAGCTGTCAACCGGGACGTGATCGAGTACCATTCCAATATGGGGGAGGGGAGAGGCGTAGAAATCGAGGCAGTTGGGCTTTCGAATGAGCTGCCGTGACGGCATCGTCGCTGTGGACAGCAACGAGGACGAGGCGCACCGGGAATCTTAATCTTCACAGGATATCGAAAAGGACCTGGACAATGACGACGCCGCGCACGAGCCAGCGAGGGATGAGGTGGAGGGGGCTGGAGCGGGTCATTTCAAAGAGACTGATGAAGGGTTTATGTAGTGAAGGATGCAGTCAATTTCGTATCAGGCGAGCGCGTACGGGGGGAGGAGCGATCATATAGTCATGCAGCCTATAAGGAAGGAGGGGTTGCATTTTCGGCATCACCGTGAGATTTGGCTATAGGGAGGGAAAGAAGTAAAAGGAGGTCGTCGGCGGCAAAGGGAAGGTGCGATGGTCGCAGTAGGAGGTATGTTTCATGGCAGCCGATATACATGGGGCGCAGGATCGGAGTAGTATTTAGGTGTGAATCTGAGATGCATCGCCGTCGAAGGAATCTAACAGACGCACTTTGCGATTCTACGAGCTAGGCAGAGACGGTGATATGAGGCAGTCAGCTTCGGCTTGAAGAGTAGCAGGGTTTGTCCCCCCCCTTAATACTGAACGAAATTTGAGACAAGAAGGGAGGGGGGGGAGGCAAAAAAAAAAGAAATGGTCAGTATGAGGGTCGAACTCATGACCTTCGCATTATTAGTACGACGCTCTAACCAACTGAGCTAACCGACCAATTATGAGAGTTTAGCTTGCAGCTTTAATATATGAGACTCTTTTGTATCCATGGAAGTTGTGAATGAGTCCTCCACTCGGGCATGGCAATTTCAAGTTCGACACGTCGTGATACTTCAATGTTTCAACGTTCTTTATCCGAACTCCTCATCCTTTACATCTTTCCTTATGGATATATGCTATCATAAATAATACGAGTGGGGTAGAACGGTCCGGCACTGATGCCCTAGGTCTCCCACATGTCATTCATCTTGGTCGGCAGCCGCTGCAGTATCACGAGTTGTCGACCTGTCGGCAATGAGGTGCTCATCTGGTAGCATGATGGCCCTATCAAGCTCGTAGGGAAGACCACGGTGCCGTCCACGGATCATGATGGCGCAGAGGACCAGCTTGCTAAACGTCTTGAACTTTCCGCACAGCGAGAAGTTGACGCCGGGGTATCCGAGACTGAGCCCGACATTTCCACTTTGGGAAGAAGCGAGACATGTCAGTCGGGTCGTCGTAGAGGAAGGGGCGAAGAGTGTATGCTTACTAGGCAGAGGTGCATTCGAAGAATATCGAAAACAGATTGATGGCCTGGGAAACGCCGCGCGTCAGATTCAGCAAGACGTATTCGGTTTGAGGAAGGATAGAGAGGGTGGAGGGGTGACCGCTCACAGGCTCTTCATCATCCATTATCCGATCGGCTTCGGAGATGGCGATGCAGAAGATGCCCAGGAAGATGTACCACAGGTCGAAGCTGAGCTGGTTCTGCATGTGGCTGAGCAGGTACGCGGCGCCGCTGCGCTGCTGCTGGCTCCCGTCGTCGTCAGGGTTGACCTCGGCGGGCCCGTACACACCCAGTGACCTCTCCTCGTACGTGTTGGAGGCGCGGATGGACATGGCGATGGGGAAGACGGAGATGTACATCATGACCAGGAGGCTGAACTGCACGGCAGGGTTGACATTTGCGAGGGCGAAGGATGCCGTGCCCGTGTGCCGGGACGAGGCCGACTGGAAGATGGCGGCGAGTACCCGCGGGCCCAAGGGCAGCGAGGCCACCTCTGGGTTGTGCAGGTCCAGGACGATGATGAGGAGCGCGTCGATGAAGTTGAGCATGAAGAGGATGACGAACAGGGCCCAGGTGTGCTTTCCGGGGAAGAGGAGCGTGTAGCACCGTCGCGGGTGGTCGAGGAGGAACCGGAGGGAGTCCCGCGCGTCCTTGCCTGACGGGGACGACGTCGGCCATGCCTTGTACGCCACCCAGATGATCAGGCGGAGGAAGACGGGGTAGAAGGTGTTGCCGGCGAAGGCGAGGAAGCTCATGACGAACATGGGCCACTCGGCATCGCGGAACGTGATCATCGAGTCGGGTGTCAGGGTGAGGCCGAGGTTGTTGACCATTGTCTGGCTCGTGTAGAACGCCCTGTGACCGCGCGCGTGTGAGCCTTCACCTGCCGTCTCATCCTTCCTGCATCCAGCGAGGCCGAACTCACCACCAAATCTCCCCCTGGCCGCATTCTGCCAGCCACTCCCTGTACTTGGATCCGGCATTTACGATCCAAGGCGCCAGGCAGAGCGCACCGAAGAGATGCATACCGAGATAATATGCTTCGCGTCTCAGTCCCCTGTCAGCAACTCCAGCTACGTGAGCAGAGGCCGAGCTGACGTACCGACGATGATCTTGAGGAGCAACTTGAGGCTCCTATACTCAATGCCCCCGAGAGCTTCGCGATCCTCCGACGTCAGGTTTCGAAATTGCGAGTTACGGCCGACGGTGGCCTGGTTGGACAGGATAGGCATGCTGTTCAGCTGGGGTTGCTGCTGCTGCTGCTGCTGCTGAGATCGCGATCTGGACACGACGCGCCGCACATCAGGCCCGACGACAAAGACGGATGAGGCTACCGTGGCGACGCGGTCGAGAGTGACGGTGTCACCGTAGTTCTGCGGTACGCGGCGACGACGGAGTGTATCGTGTTGATTGGACCCAGGGGTCTCATCACGATCATCTAACGCCCAGAGCAAGGAATAGGGAGGCGGTCAGATATGGTGTTCGGCGGAGAAAGTTGGAGAGATTCGTCCGACTCACTGTCGTCACTCGTCGACAGCTTCCCATGCAGCTCAACGAACGGTCTTCCCTGGTCACGGTCCCGCGGGCCTGGTATGTATAGTGCCCCTTCGTCATTCTTGGGGTGGTTATCGGCGGAAGGGTCAAACTTGATGTGCTGGACCGGTCCGTCGTCCTTCTTCTCCACGGGAGGAGCGACGTCCATCGAGTCACCGTCATCGACAGGTTCCCGAGTCCCTGCATCTACGACCTGGCCCCGGCGGTCGGCTGCACTGCTCGACAAGGGGCGAACATGATGCGCATCCTCGACATCAACGGCCCTAGGGTCCACGTCGCGGGAGGCACCGCCTCTCTTAGCCTCGTACAGCGCCGGCGCTTTCCTAGGTGTCAGCGCCTACGTGACGAGATGAAGGGGGGTCCGGGTCTGACGCTCGCCTACCGAGTCTCTTCAGGTGCTTCCTGAACCACCAGAGGCGAACGACGACGACGACGATGTTGATGACGCCTAGATTGGTGATGCACGGGATTATATAGAGGTATGCCTGCTGGTACGTCGGGAGGTTGGCAAGATCGACTCTATGACACGATCATGGCAGGCAATCAGCTATCGGATCGGGTAGTTTCGTACGCGGATACGTATATGCGTATCCGTGTGTATGTTGTGTGTGTGTATGTGTGTGTATGTGTGTGTGTGTGTGTGTGTGTGCGTGCGTGCTTAGAATGATACGGGGCAGAGAATGAGACCAAGAGGGACAACACAGTAGCTTTCCTATACAAAGAGAGCAGAAGCACGTACGTGTTCAACCCAGACTCGGTGGCCGCACTCGTGCCAAAATGAATGGCGTTGACGGCGCTCAGATTGCCTCCCGCATACAGGATCGGAAAGCTCAGGAGGGCACAAAAGGTGATCCACGCATCTGTTTGATCCTCCTCCCGTCCAACACGCGATATCCCGGTTAACGATATTCCTATGAGAAGGGGGGGGGTGAGAGCAGGTGCGCGGATGAGTATGTGACTTACAATGAAGCGTTACGAAGTTCATGGGAGGCCTCCACATTGCGCGGCAGGAGTTGTCGTCAGGTCTACGCGACAGTAACTGTAGGACAAGTCGGGAGAGAAGAAGCCAGTGCTGTAAGCGATCAATGCATGGAAGAAGCTTATTCTTCCCCCGTCGCTTTCTTCTTCTTTTTTTCTTCCCGTTCTCTCCTGAGACTGATGTTACCTAGTAGACAAGCGGTACGAGTGAGAAGGTGGGATATTATTCATTCATTCCAGCAAAGAGGGCCATTGCTCCTCCTACTCTCCTACACTAAACAGGAACGGGAATGGATACGGACGAGACGGTATTAATGTGCGCCATTTGACAATCTGTCACGTTAGTGAGTGACCGGACTAATTCATGGTGGATCTGCCTTTGATGGGCTGCCTCCCGACGGACATGCGATTATAAGGAAGCACTGTATAATTCTCAAAATCATTTTTGGGGGAGGCTTGGGCTGAGAGCGCGTGTGAATCTGATACTTCGAAACCGGAATAGTAGCCATTTCGATGCAACCAGCATGCATACGCCCCAGTAGGTCTAGACATGATGATACGGGAGGACCGGTCATCCCCTCCCCGTCCCATGTACAAATGTGGCAGTGACCCTTTCTCAGGGACCTTTTTGACGTATATATGTATGTACATATATATATATATATATATATACACATATATACATATACATATATACATATCTTGCTCCCACCTTCGGTACCGATGCAGGAATTGTCTGGTGGGAAATCTTCTTGGAGAAGCACAATCTGGTCCACTTCTTTTATTTTATATGTTCTTCTCCCCGGTTTGTCGGATGAGGTCGGATGACGAGGCTATGATGCGAATACATTCAGTAATAGTAACAAGTAAATACTAAAGAGTGTGCAGTCATTCTCATCTCTCATCTTCCATGAGGCCATCTCGACCCCCACCCAGCTGGGCCCATTCTTCTTCCAGCATCGCCTCTGCTGCGCTGTCAGGTACATTATTGGGGTTATTGTCATTGTTGTTGCTGTTGTTGTTGTTGTATGGAGGCGAAGAAGACAGGATGCGGATTCAAAAGGTAGGCATCCCCCATCTAGTCCTCATCTTCGTCTGTGGCCTCGTCTTCCGCCTCCGCTTCGGCTCCGGCGGCGACCGCCGCGGCGCTCGTAGCCAGGACATTCTGAGTGCCGAGGGCGCTCTGAGGGAAGCGCGAGTTGAAGCCGATGACGTCCCTGGCCTTGATGAATGTCGACGTCTGGATCGAGAGCTTCTGCGTGGAGACGAACCAGCTCACACTCTCGCTGCAGGGGGGAGTTGTCAACGAGCCAGAGTACCTGCGTCGTGTCATGTCAGTCCACTGTTCACTGCGGAAGTCGATCGGAGGAGAGAGGAAGGAGGGGGAAAGGTGGTGGAGGACTCACGTCTGAACATCGGCAGCACCGATGAGGTTGACCAGCTCGGACATGATGAGGGGGTCGGTGGTGACGGTGTCGCCCAGGTTGGGGATCTGGTCGACGACGCCGAGGACGGTCTCGACGACGGCAGAAGCACCTCCGGCCCCGGCCTGGCGCCGCTGGGCCTTGGCCTTGGCCTGGCGACGCCTGACGTCGGCGCGCTTGGCCTGCTCGCGCTTGGCCTGCTCGCGCTGAGCCCTCTCCCTCCTGGCATTCCTGTGGTCTCCACGACGGACCCGAGCGGCGGCGGTAGGCTCCGTCTTGGGGGTCAGCGTCGTGGCCGGCCGGGCCACGCCGACGGGGGCGGCCGTGGTGGTGGCGGCGGGCGCCTCGGCCTCGGGCTCCTCGACCTCGGGCTCCTCCGTCGCGGGGGCTTCCTCCTCGACAGCTTCCTCGGTCCCGGTGGCGAGGTCGATGTAGACGCCGACGACGGCGATCTGCTCGTCGGCGCTCTCCCAGACCATGTGCATCTCCATGGCCATGGTGGTGCCGTCGTCCAGGTGCTCGCTGGGCAGGTGGAAGTGGAACTGCTGGAGGGTGTACTGGACACCTGCGGCCGTCATGGTGCCGCCCTGGGCGATGACCTCGACCGTGGTGCCGAGGTTCTCGAACTCGGCGCCGTCGGCCATGTCGGGGATGGTGATGTTGAGCTCCGAGGCGGCCTGGAGGGTGAAGGCGTCGGCCACCATGTTGATGGGGGACTGCTCGGTACCCTGGGCGCAGGCCGAGTTGGCAGCGTCCAGAGCATGCCAGTTGGTCGGACCCTGCGGGGGAGGACCGGTCAGCTCAGCACGGGATCGGGTCGAGCGTGCGCGGCGGTGCTCGGCTGGGAAGGTCAGGGGGCATCGCGCAGACTTACCTGGTCACCGATGTATCCAAAAGTAGGGGCTTCGATCTCGCCGTCGGCCCTGCGATGCAGGTGGGTTCCGTAGGCACACGACGCCAGCGCGCCAGGCGCAAAGGTGGCCAGGAAGCCCAACGACAGGTAGGTAGCAGTGCGAGTCATCTCGTTGAAGGAAAGAATAAGGGTCAGATAGAGAGAGGAGTAGCAAAAGAAAGGAGTGAATAGTGAGCGAAGGAGAGGCACGGGGAGAGAAGAAGACCAGGAAATCAAAAAAAAAAAACAAATTCGAAAAAAACAAGACCAGCTTGGTAGGATTATATATAAGAAAGAAGAAAAGAAGCAAGACCGGCTTGGATGGAGAAGAGAAGTGAAGACTGATATGTCACCCATACGGACATCGTCGTCTCTTAGTCCTGTATATATACCAACTATCTATCCTGGCATACCTTAGCACATCTTGGCATATCCTAGCACATCTTAGCATCTACCAACATATCCTGGCATATCCCGACATAACCTGGCATCGAGGCATCAAGGGGGGGGCAGCTCACCAGGGAGTTTCACCAGGGCGTTGAGATGCTGGACCGTGAAGCAGGGGTTCTCCCTCATCTCCACGACGTTTTGTAAGCCTACATTGTAGGTTATTTTTAAGGTTGACTGATATAGAGACGGACGGCGGTACGAGGGCGAAGGAGACGGCACTTGGGATGTACTGTTACGGGCAACCGTACGGAGGTGAAACCGTTGACGCCGTTGAAGTCTCCTTGACGGACTTTGATACCGACCATGAGAGGAGCAGGGATCATTAGGGGGAGAGAGGAGGAGAAGGGAAGGGGGGAGATTAACACACACACACACGCACACATACACATACTACCCACCCCTAATCATCCCACTCACCAGGGAACAAGATACGGAAATCACGTCTANCGGGCAACCGTACGGAGGTGAAACCGTTGACGCCGTTGAAGTCTCCTTGACGGACTTTGATACCGACCATGAGAGGAGCAGGGATCATTAGGGGGGGGGGGGGGGGGGGGGTGAGCGGGGAGATTAACACACACACACACGCACACATACACATACTACCCACCCCTAATCATCCCACTCACCAGGGAACAAGATACGGAAATCACGTCTACTCTGCAGCCTAGTTGGCGCAAACGCCTGGTCGGGACAGTGTTCGGTTAGAGGCTGCCGTAGTCTCCGCCGTCACGTACCTAACCTACCTACCTATGGCTGAACGGCCATGCAGCGAGATGGCTGCATGTGCAGATTACCCGTACACCGCACACACAAGACGAGGTGGAGGCCAGGACTGCAGATGCGCGACGCGCCGACTGTACTGTGAGGTCGGCATCTCGAGGTGGACGTTCTAGACCAGAGTAAAAAAAGAAATCGAGGTGTATACTATTCTATTCAAATCAAGGCATATACGAGATGCCAAGGGATGCTACGTCGAGAGTATGATGAGAAGGTTATCGATGGAGAGGAACGGACGCCTGTATACGAGCAGAGGCAATAATACAATCACAGCACAGGTGGACGAAGAGCGTTCGACCTGACTCTCTCGAGAGAAGGGTAGGGGAGGGGGGAGGGAGAGGAACGGAGTTCTACCCTCCCCATAGTGGGGAGTGTCGTCGTCTCTTATACGTCGTGACCCCACACAGACCAGACCCCTTGTTTTGCCAAGGGCTGGTTTCAAGCATCCAAGAGGAGTACATGTAGAGCAATCTCTTCTTCTTTCCTCTGCCAATCGTCAGGTCGTGGGCTCCTGATACTGCATGTGTTATCTACCGTGATTCCCGTATGCTACCTCGTTCCCGACAGGCCTACTCTCCCCCCCTCAACCTCTGAATGTCATCCGCCTCATATGTGCTCTGGTCGTGGCTGATACAGTTTCATCGACGGATGCCTCCGGACCGACGCATTCCCCGAAACGGGGACGAACCCACCGGCCAATCTACACCTGGACCTGCGACAGTGTGACATAGCCGGGGGTTGGCCGGGGGTTAGCCGGGGAGTTTGATTATGCTTCCTTCTCTGGCTCTCAATATCACTCCTCCTCCTCCCCCCCCTCCTCCCCCCCCCCTCCTCCCCCTTCTGGCGCAAGACTCCTCACGTCGGTGTGTGGGCCGAAGGGGGGGTCATGTGCGACAGCAAGTGCAGCTGGTCGAGTCCTCCCTCTTGGCAGCAGTGCCGTCTTTATTGGATGCTATTTCCGGCCTGTCCTGACCCTCCCCTCCCCCCCTTTCGCGTGAGTGCCGAGGAGGGGCTTTGCCAGGGTCCAGGGAACCTGACGGGATCTACGGAGTATTACAGAGAGGAATACGGAGTACAGAGTACGAAGTATCACTCGTGCGCTTGTGATATCATATATGTGTTATACGTAGCAATAGTAGCGGCAAGCGCCGTTTCCCTGTTCACCCTTGATTGAACTGTCACAATTGGACCTAAGCCACGCGGCATCTGGGATCCCCTTTTCTTTTTTTTTTTAATCTCTTTTTTTTCTTTAATTCTTTAATTGCTTTTTTTCTTTTTTTTTTCTCATCTTCCTTTTCTCTTCTTATCTTTCCTTTATATATACACATAACTTCTCTCTTTTCCTCTTTCCGAAACGAGCGGGAGGCGGTGCACGACGATGTGGAGTCGAGGAACAGACCGAGAGAGGATGGATGAAGAGATGGCTCGCGTGATTACCTACTGAAAGGGGTAATGTGCAAGGGGGGGCCTCGGTCGGCTTGGCTGACCGTCATGATCGACTGCTGCTGTCTCTCAATCCGTCGGAACGTCGGATCTGGGGTCTCGTAGGGCAACGCCATGTGCAGCCCACATTTCTGCACCGTTTTTTTTTTTTTTGCTTTTTTTACGTTGAGAGCTGTACGGGTATACGATGTCATGTCGAGATATGAACGTTTCTTCCATCATTCCTAGAAAGTCTTCTTTTTTCTTTCTTGATAAAAAAATATTAAAAAAAAAAGAAGAAGAGAAAAAAAAAAAAAGGAACTGTCGAAATCCACAGTAACATCTACATGCATATGACGTTCACCTTGAGCATGCACGTAACGAGTACAAGTTACTCGTTTACTTGTATATGTAATTCTCTTAGTCGCTCCCCAGTGTGAGTGTCGGGGATGTCTACCGGGTAAGTCCACCGGCTAAGTCCACCGGGTAAATTCACCGGGTAAATCGTAGGCTCAACATCGGACTTTACCATGGTGAGACTGGCACAGCGGCACACCCAAAAAAAAATGACTCACGTATCTCTTCACTCTTGGCGGTCTTTTTTATTATTTTTCATTTTTCATTTTTCATTTAAATCTAATTTTTTTTTTTTTGATATCAAATATTACAGAGCAGATTGGATGCTGCTGCTCTCTGCCATGATCACTCAACATCAGCTTATGAAGATTCTGTCCGTGACCCATGAGAGATGAAAGCTCACTGTCACGGCAAACCAGCTGCTACGTCAAATTTAAATTTTTTTTAAAAAAATAAAAAAATAAAGGAAAAGTTGTTTTTTTTTTATAAGAAAAAAGATGAGGGGAAAACACACACACACACACGCACGCACATCACCATCGCCGTCTACTTCACAGCTCATACCTCACACTCGAATCACACGTCATCGAGGGGATAGATAATACTACGAGTAACATGCAGCAGACCCTACCACTCGAGGGGTGAACATGGACCTACCAGACCTGGACTTCTCGTCGTCCCCCATCCACCACCCTCACTGCTGTCTCGGCCTGTCGACGCGCCTGTTCGACACCGTCCGGCGTGTCCTCGTTCCCTCGCCCCCTCCCTCGCCCTCGCCATCGCCATCGCCATCGCCATCGCCATCGCCACGCACCGTCCTCTCGGTCGGCAGCGGCACCGGACTCCTCGAGGCCCTGATGAATCGACACTTTCAGGACCGGAGGAGACGCTTGCAGGATCAGGACTCCCGCCAGCCGAACCGACCGGCGGCAGGCGACCTGGCGGTGGTGGTGGTCCAGGGTGTCGAGGTGTCCTCCTCCCCCTCCTCCCCCGAACCGAACGTGTACCTCCCGGAGCCGCTGCGCCACAGCGTCCGTGGCACGTGGGCCGTCTCCCAGATGCTGGGGTCTCCGGACGTCGCCGCCCTCATGTTCGTCTACCCGCGACAGCCGGACCTGCTGACGCGCTACATCCAGGCTGCCAACCTCGACGTGCACGGGGGGGAGGGCAACGTCGAGGCCCTCGCCTGGCTAGGCCCGACCGTCGACTGGCCCCTGTTCGGACAGTGCTTCGCCGATCAGCATGTCGAGAGGCTCGTGGGCGCAGAAGCAGGATTGCAAGACTACGAGATGATGGCCGTCATCCGACGTCGACGATGAACCAAGTCGAAAAACAAGAAGGAAAGAAAAAAGAAGAAGAAGAGAGGCGGAGTAAGACGAGATGCGGTAAAAGAAGAATCTCAGTTCAAATCTGACACTGGCGCACTATCGCGGGCTGGACAGGCCCCAAGACCTCGAGTTTCCACCACTCTACCCCACACCCCCCCACACCCCCCCCCCCCCCCC